CATTTTCAAAAAAGAATTGCATGACCTAAACGAAAGAACTAATTACGGACAACACATTTTACTCAAAATAAAAATCTCGATCTTCAATTTTCTAGTTGTAGGAAGACGGTGAAAAAATTTCAATCTCTTACAATTCTCAAAAATTCAGAGTTATGAGTGAAAATCGGACCTATACCATCTTTATAAATGTATTTCACTATCTTTTTACAAGAAGTTAAAAAAATAGTAATTTTTGAGAAAATTTTGAAAATGTCCCGAGATCTTCATGTAAAGTACCCCCAAAAATGAATGAATATTTTTCAAAATTGCAGAGCTACGACTCAGGCCAGATTGACAAGAGTTTGGAAAAAATCGTACGCATACTTAGGCGCTTGTGTTGTTCACATACACTAGACGGACGAATGGACGTTTTGAGAGTGGAGAGTGGAGAGAGGAGAGAGGAGAGAGGAGAGAGAGAATCTTGCAGGGATCTTGAAGTTTCTGTACAGAAACTCTATGTGAATCTGCACGACAACTGTACCGTGTATACCAGGCTTAAGAATATTAAAGAAGAGTAAAACGTCGTCATATAAGGAAAATTTTGTTGCAATCTTTGGAGCTGTTTTTAAGAAAATGGTGTTTAAGCGTTACTGAAAATGCGAAATTTAAAGCTATTTTTCACAGAAATATTTTTAGTTTTCGAATAGATCCAAACATTTTGAAAAGATAGTGCTAAATGTTCTGTTTAATATGACATAAAGTTGATTTTGGGGTACTCTCTTGTTTTTTTTAGATAACCCAGATCAAAGAAAATAGAAAACTAATACGAGAAACACTGTGCCATTCTGTATCACCACTAGTTTTTCGAACATGACTTCTTTTGAATTGTTTTTTACCCACTTTCTTAACAGTTAATAAAGTTCACATTCTTTTATAAAGTTTACACAAATGTTGAAGATGAAGTTATCACATTTGTTTTATTTTACATTTGATTCATTTTTTAAGACGAAATAAAAATGAGGGCTCATATTCTCTTCTCCTCTATAAATAAAACAATAAATAATCCCCAATAAAAGATCCGAAATCCCGCCTCTGATGACTCTGTGTGTGTGTGTATATATATATATATATATATATATATA